CACATGCTAAGTAAAATTTGTTTATGTGAATTCCCCAATTGACAGCCAATATTAAAAATAAAAAGCCAGTGTAGTGATGCATGCCTTTCATTGTTTATAGTCTTGTTGATTCCTTGTATCATCTAGAGTTTAGTGGACTTTCTGTGCTGTGTACTTGAAAGAGGACAGAACATGAGAATGAAATGAAGGAGAGAGATGAGGAGCTTAATGAAGGTTGCCTATAACCTTCATTTAGCTCTATGGACATTGCATACTTATTTCTGAAGCTTTGTTAACTGTTCTGCATCAGGAGTCATCACACCCAGTTCAGGAGAACATCTCAAGAACTGAGTGCGTTGTAGTATATACACCTGTGATTCCAGCTTCTTAAGAGGTAAGAAAAGGAGGGTCTCAGTTTGAGGTCATCTTGGACAAAAAAGAAAAAAAAATGAAACATCTCAAAAAGCTTCTAGGGCGTGGTGGTACATGTCTGTAATCCCAGCTAGGTAGGAGGTTGAGTGCATCCCCAGACAAAAGCCTGAGACTTTATCTGAAAAAATAAACAAAAAATTGGCTGGGGATATGGCCTAAGTGGCAGAATGTTTGTCTAGCATGTATTAGGCCTGAGGTCAAATCTTTGTACCACTATAAAAAAAACTCATTAAATAATAACAATTCATAATAACACAGCAATACATAATAATAACTCATCAAATAGCAAATATTAATAAAAAGTAAAATTTTATGTAGCATCTGTGTATCTCCAAAAGGAAACTTTAGAATTAGTGAAGTTTATCTATATGAGAAATTTACTAGAAGGATTTAGCAGTGGATTTGAATTGTCCAAAGAAAGAATTAATTTGAAGATAAACGAGGGGAGATTATAAAATCTGTATAGAAGCAAAATTAATCAAGATAAAAAGAACTTCAGAGAAATATCAGGCATCATTAAATGTACCAACATATGTATAATGGGGAAAGGAGAGGGAGGGAGAGAGAGGGAGAGAGAGACAGCAATGCTCAAACAATGCCTACAGACTTCACACATTTGATAAAAATGATAAGCTAATCTACACACTGAAAAATTTAAATGAATTCTTAAGAAGGAGAATTTTATCTTTGACTTTTGTACATTATAATAAAGATGCTGCGAATGGTTAAAGAAAACAAAGATAAAGAGAACTTTTTTTAAGCTTCAAAGGAAAAGAAATCACACACACATACAAGGGCATCACAGTTAACATTTCTTCAGGAAAAATGGAGGTTAAAGGCTATGGGATGACACAGAGAGTGTTGAAAGAAAAACAACTGTCAGCCTGGAAGAATATACCCAGAGAAGCTGTCTTTCAAAATGAAGGTCAATTAGACATCCTCAGATAAACAAAAGCAAAGAATGCATGCTAACACACTTACCTTACCAGAACTACTTGAAGGTTTCCTTCATTATCACAGAGACAGCAGATGTTAATTCTGAATTTATGTGGGGGGAAGAAAAAATAAAGAGCTCCAGTAAAGGTAATTATGTAGGTAACCATAAAATTCAGTATAATTACACATGTCATTTTCTTTCTTTTCTTAACTGATTTGAAAAGAAAATGCATAAAACAATATCCATAAAATTGTGTTATTGTGCCTATACTGTATAGAATTGTCATATATTTGACAATTAAAAATCCAAGTGAATGGAGTTTCATTGGGAAAAGAAAATGATACTAGGTGGGAATTTGAATCCGCAGTAAGAATCAGAGATGGTAAATAATAAACTTAATTTAAATAACTCCATAAACATGCCTGAGTTCCCTTTTTTACCTCAGCTCTGAAAAAGATGTCAGTTTTTACAGTGCAGTAACTATAAACAATGTATGTTGTGATTGTAATTTATACATCTGTTATGCAGCAGACATTTATAACATGATATGACCATCATAGCACAGAAAAAGGAAGAGGGAGGGGCTGGGAAGGTGGCTCAGTGGTAGAGCGCTTGCCTTGCATGCCTGAGGCCCGGGGTTTGATTCCTCAGCACTCCATAAGCAAAAAGAAAAAAGCTGGAAGTGGCGCTGTGGCTCAAGTGGTAGAGTGCTAGCCTTGAGCTGAAGAGCTGAGGGACAGCGCCCAGGCCCAGAGTTCAGGCCCCACGACCGGACCCAAAAAATAAAAATTTAAAAAAAGAAAAAAAAGGAAGAGAGTGGGAGAAACCATATAAAAATAGAGTTTTTATATTTGGGGCTGGGCACTCAATATAGTTGTAGAATTGGTCTGATCACCACCCTATATCATAGTAGAATTAACTTACATAAAGATGAAATTTATTCTAGTACATTAAGATGAATATTATAAGTGCTAGAGCAACCAGTAAGAAAGTAATTCAAAAAGTATAGTCAGATATTGTTAAATAAATTAAAGATGCTAGAGCAAGGCGCCCATGCCTGCAATTTTAGCTACGTTGAAAGATAAAGGGAGAAAAGGGAGCACCATAACAGAAAGACTTAACTATCATTATATAACTGTCCTCCATATGCGTTCTCAGGACTCAATAATCAAACACATGTAGAAAAGATTGGATAAATTTTTCTCTATGGATTCATTTCCCCCTAAAGTTAGGATTCTAGTCATAGCAGTTTTCAGGTTTGAAGTCTTTGAAACAAATTAATCTGAATCCATGGAACTGATTTTATTTCAGCTGATTCCTGTAGTGTTTTCTGCTTTATCACCTTCCTCTTAAAAAATATTGGGTTAGTGGGGTTAGTGGCTCAGTGGTAGATTGCTTGCCTTGCATGCATGAGGCCCTGGGTTCAATTCCTCAGCACCACATAAGCAGAAAAAGCCAGAAGGGGCACTGTGGCTCAAGTAGTAGAGCACTAGACTTGAGCTGAAGAGCTGCCCAGGCCTAGAGTTCAGGCCCTATGACCGGAAAAGAAAATGGGTTAGTAATAGATCATACGGACAGCAGTGCACAGGGAGTATATGTTATGATATACATTTTAATTCTAACCATTAGCTCTTTTCATACTCTCTGGTTTATTCTCTCATCTGACCAATATTGATATTAAAAAGATGATTTCAAGCCAGGCACTGTGGCTCACATCTGTAATCCTAGCTACTCAGAAGTCTGAGATCTGAGGATTGTGGTTGGAAACCAGCCTGGGCAGAAAAGTCTGTGAGACTCTTATCACCAATTAATCACTGAAAAAATGAGAAGTGAAGCTGTAGCTCAAGTGGCAGAGTGCTAGCCTTGAGCAAAAGGAGCTTAGGGACAGTGCCCAGGCCCAGAGTTTAAGGCCTAGGACTGGCGAAGAAGAAGAAGAAGAAGAAGAAGAAGAAGAAGAAGAAGAAGAGGAAGAGGAAGAGGAAGAGGAAGAGGAAGAGGAAGAGGAAGAGGAAGAGGAAGAAGAGGAAGAAGAGGAAGAAGAAGAAGGAAGAAGAAGGAAGAAGAAGGAAGAAGAAAGAAGAAGATACATTCACTTATCCATATGTTCAGTCACTACACGTAGAAGAGACATTAATCTGGGAATGTATATTCACAAAGACATAATAATATGTGTTGATAATGCATGAGTTTAAATAATGGCGTGTGCGTATTATACCCATACATACACTCACACACAACTAAGAACAGCACACTCTGTCATGGAGCATATGATATGCTTTGATCCTTAAAAACATGGTATGTTGCAGGTTCAGTTCTTTGACAAGGTTTTTACTCACCCACACCTCACAATGTAACTGATGGTATTTATATCTCTCTCTGTCATTTGACCACTTTTTAAAATACTGCAGTGCAATTACTTGTGTATGCTCTGTCTCCTCCCAAAAGGTGGCCTTTGTCAGTTTCACGGTAGAACTTGTAAATAGTGACTATTTGACAGCAGCATTTATTTACTAAAGAACCTAATCAGTGTCAGATATTGAGCCCTGTGAGAGTATGGCTTCTGTGTTCTCTGAAGGTATTTGCTGATGGGTGAGTGAACAAACTTACATCTTGAGTATCAATGTGTTGTAAAACAGTCCTTGGACTTGGTATTAGATGGGATGGGCCAAAATTTCTATTGGGTCCTGTGGGGATGTTATCATCTCTCATCTCACATCGGGCTTTCTTAGTTTTAAGTAGGAGTAAGTCTACTTTATAGAACTGAGATAACTTATAGTGGGTTTCCTCCCCTACACACTCCTCACCCCCATTTTCTTCTGGTCTCTGAGGCTGGGCTCTGTCCCTGAGCTTTTGTGTTAAAGGCTAGTGCTCTACCACTTGAGCCACAGCTCCACTTTTGGCTGGTCTTTCTTTCTTTTCTTTCTTTCTTTCCTTTCCTTTCTTTCTTTCTTTCTTTCTTTCTTTCTTTCTTTCTTTCTTTCTCTCTCTTTCTTTCTTTCTCTTTCTTCCTTTCTTTTGTACTTTAGTGGAGATAAGAGTCTCACAGATTTTCCTGCCTAGACTGGCTTTAAACCATGATTCTCAGATCTCACACTCCTAAGATTACAAACATGAGCCACAGTGCCCTGCCCTTTCCTCCTTTGTTGTTTATTTATTTAAGCGAAGTCCTAATTGAACCAATGATCTTCTATGATTGAGCTGAGCCTCTCTCCCCAGGCAGGACATGACACATACCAGCTGCTGCAGTCCCCTGGTCTCTGAAGCTTCTAGCCAGATGTTGGATGATCTACTATGATGTTTATCAAAATACAGGGATGCTGATATTTGCTCTTTTCCTGCACACTAGTTCTAGCTACAGCATATCCAAGTATAATAACTAATATGTGTGGATGTGTGTTTTTTTGTAAAGTTTTGCAAGATGCCTTCATACTATTATTTACTTTGGTAACCCTCCAGAAAAAAAGAGCAGCCGGGGAAGCACCAACACCTTTGAGAAAGTAGCAACAATTCAGATCAATTAAGCACAAGTCACCTGACTAGAAATTTGGTGATCCTCCCCCTCCACCCCCCCACCCCCACTTTCCTTAGCAATGCAGTATTTGTCACAATGACAGCCTTCATCCTAACGCTCTCCTCCATTCTTCTTTGGCAGAGGCATCTATCCTGAGCTATGATGGCAGCATGTACATGAAGATCATTATGCCCATGGTAATGCACACCGAGGCAGAGGATGTGTCCTTTCGCTTCATGTCCCAGCGAGCTTACGGGCTTCTGGTGGCTACGACTTCCAGGGACTCGGCTGACACTCTGCGCCTGGAGCTGGATGGGGGGCGCGTCAAGCTCATGGTTAACTTAGGTATCGTATGAAGACCCCTCTGCCCCACCTTGTTTGGGCTTGTCTTCCCTTTTCCTTTCTGATTTTTCTTGGTTTGACTGAATTCTTTGTTTGTTTTCCTGAAAGTTAACTGCTCACCTCTTGTTTCATGGACCAAGGATAAAAACCCAGCAACATATAACCTCCTTATTTCTGCATGAGGTTTTGATGTCAATTTCTGGTTTCTGACAGTGGTTGTTGTTTCTGTTTGGTTTGGTTCGGTTTTGGTTTTGGTTTTGGTTGTTTTTTTTAACCGGATTATTTGTTTTCTAAGTTTCCTTTCTTGGTTTTTTGGAATTGTTTAGCTTTGTGTAAAACACGCTACTTTGGTCCATCTTTTGATCAGTCATATTCCCATCAAGTCCAACTCAAAACAGTCAAGCTGAGGATGGGGGGGGAGGGGAGGGGTGGGAGTTGAGGCCAAACCTGAGGACAGGATGTCAGAGGAAAGTGTGGTGGCCCTGATGTCACTCACAGTTTGAGATCCCCCTCCCCCTCTCCAGGAATCATGACAGATGATTTCTACTGTCCCACTGGACAAGCAATTGCTTACATTTAGCATTTCTGGCCTATGAGAGGAGAAGATCCCTCCTGGAAGATAGTCTTAATTTCCTTCCTGACATCCTTGCCCACTTCTCCACAGCCCCTTTTGGGGAAAAAAATAATTGTGCTTAATACTATTATCCAACAATCGCTTTACGGAAAACAAATTATTATAACTTTAAACGTGTAGCTTTATTTGGGACAAGATCTGTTCTTTCCTCTAATGGACTCATTTGAAATGCTGTCTTTATGACCTCCCTTCTTTTCCGTTCTCAACTCTCTTTCCTGGATCCGAATTGATCTCTAGAGAGTGTGGGCCTTCTGGTATTTTTGTAGACAAACAAGTAAGCAAGCAACGCATCTCAGTTTCTGCTCTTCCCATTCCTCAGAAGCCTAGTGCTGAGAGGTTCCATGATACCGCTCAGTCAAACTTTCTAAGCAGATAGATTTATCTGGGTATGTAAAATAGGTTTGAATACAGAACTCCTTTATAAAGGATGGGATGGCTTGTTAGAAGCCTGGAGATGACATGGTGGAGAAATGTACCATATTCCAGAGCATGTTATCCCTAGATGACCACCCCACCCTGTAGGAAGCTGAGCTTGGGAATCTATCACAGACTTATCTGTTGTCAAGCAAACTGGTCCCACATTTCAAATATCTATGCTGTCATTCTAAAATCTCCAGTCGACAGAGGACTGTTTTGAGCAGTGGCTTGTTTCGTTATGTCCTTTACTTTTTCTTCCAGTTTGCAGCTTTCCAACATGATTTCCTTTTGTCCAACCTCATTTGATTTCTCTTGTCAGTGTGTCTCTTGGGTTTCTATCATTTGTGTTATGTGTATGTGTTTGGTTATTTTAGATTTTGTTTTTCTCTTTGGCTGGATCGTTTTGTGTGTGTATGTTCTTGAGTTTCCTCCCACCATCAGCCATGGTAAATCAAAAGATGGTATTCAACCCTTCAAAGGCCCAAAGCCTGCGGCCCGCATAGCAAACAGCCTTGAGAACAGAGAGTACTGAGCAGCCGACAGGGATTGGCAGGCCCCTGTCCCCCCACCTTCCCACCCCACATCACCCTCCCCACCTAAGCAAACCAAGTGACCATTGCACCTCAAACCAACAAGTAGTAGCCCACCCCGACTTCTCCAAAGAAACAGCAGAAGGGATAACAATCCAAACCCAAAGCAGAAAACCAAGGCAGAGAGCAAATACAAACCACTGCTTAGTTCACAGAGAAAAGAGAGCAAAGACAGTCTTTGTATCTCAAAGGAAGAGAGACAGATATGTGTGAAGAAGATTTAGCCCATGGGAGCTTGGGGGAACACACGCTGTGTCTTTCAACAGACAATTTGTTTTTTCCTTATTAGTCGTTGTTTTGACAAAATTAGAAAGTTAACTGCTACAGGTCTCACACACAGGATTCATGTCTCCCATCCTAGAATGACCAGGGCACAGGGATGGATAAAAGAAAATGAGCAATAAAGATATGTCTGTGTCTCTCCCTTCCTCTTAGTCTCTTTATCTCTCTCTGTCACACACACACATACACACACACACACACACACACACACGCATGCACGCGCACACACATACACGCACACATACTCTGAACTTTAATTCATTGTGTTGTATACATGTCCCTTTTCACATTCATACTTTATCCAAAGGTTCTCCCCTCCTCCTTTCCCAAATACACTCGTTTTATAAGGACTTTTGTTCTTTAAGCACAGTTTGAATTCATGTGCTTTTCCTTTTTACATTTGTACTGCTTCTTTTAAATTTGTTTTGTTTTGTTGAGACAGAATCTCACTATGTCGTCTAGGCAGGCCTGGAACTCCCTAAGGCCCAGGCTGGCCTTACACTCACAGCCTTTACTTCCTGATTACTGAAACTGCCCGTGTACACCACTATGCCAAGTTGATTACTGCATTTCGTTGTCTCACATATATGGAATCAACAGAAATAATTCTCTAATGTGCTTCAAATTAGTCATGCTACACACTCATTATAGAAAAGCATAGTAGATATTAATCTGGCAAAATATATCTAAATGTCAAAGACACTAGGGTTTGCATGGGCTCTGTTTTCTGAAGAGAGCATGAGTGGTAATAGCAGGTGAGAGAAATAACCCTATATCATAACATATGTCCCTAAAAGTTGTGCGATTGACTCCTACACAACCACATTTTGTTCTTTGAGTAGTAAAAGAGCTAGCAACAGCATTTTGTTAAGGATTTAAAAGATCTTATTTTCATCTCCATAAAATTGGGAGAAAATCCAAAATTGTTCTTCTTATACTCAATTTTATGGATATGAAATAGAGAGCTATCTGCCTTGTCAAAACTTGGATAAAAACTTTGGTGATGGAATAGAGACTAGAAGTCTTGTGCCTAACTGCTAGATCATCATTGATGACCTGTTACCCTCACAGGGTCAAAACTTGGATAAAAACTTTGGTGATGGAATAGAGACTAGAAGTCTTGTGCCTAACTGCTAGATCATCATTGATGACCTGTTACCCTCACAGGGTAACCTACGGAGCAATGACACTGGAGCTCAATGATGTCACACTTCTTTCATAATTGCCATCTTTGAAAGACGCACAGAGAGTATTTCCTTCTTCCTTAGTGCTCAGTTTGAATTGAGCCACACTATAGAAAAGTTAGAAGATGTAGACAAACCTTTCTGGATTCTCATCAGAGAGCCGGGAGGCCTCCTTTCATGGTGAATTCTGAGCCAGTATAGGCAGTTTGACCAGTTGCCTTAGAGTTCTCCCAGACATTTTCTGCCTAGCTCGCTGCTCATGCATTATTGAAAACATACAACTTTTAGAAATATCCATCACAACCATGTGCCACTCAAAGACCACCCCTATGGAGATCCATCATTTCCTTGCATTTATTGAAATAAAGCAAAGAAAACTAAGTAAAACAAAACAAATAGCATACATGTGTACATATACAAATGCACAAACATGCTCACCTCTCAAATTTCATATAAAGACTGAAGTAGTCTTTTTTTCAGGCAAAGAGAGAACTCTGGCCACTATCAAAGATACAGCTAAAGGAAATGGTTTCCTCCATCAACTCCCTGGCACATGTTTTTTGTTGTTGTTAAGAATACATATCCTCACAAACACACTATCTCTTCACAGAACTTGTGAAAAGAGAGGAGACTTTTTTTCTCCAGCTTTTTATTCCTTGGGTAGAAATAGCAACATGAATCTTCATGTCTCACTTTAAAAACAAATTGTCTGCCATCTTGAAAGCCCTAAATTGTAACACTTTTAAAGATACCCAACATCTTAGGGAATCCTTTGAATGATCTGGAAAGATGAATCCAACCCACACCAGTCCTTAGACCAGATTCTTATGTGACCATAAATTCCTCAGCTGCCTAGAAACCAAAGAAGAAAATCATTCCTTATGGGAAGTCCTTGGGTTTGTAACATTAGGCCCACTCTTCTCCTTTCCTTTCTCCTAAGCATGCACACAGTTCTCCTCCCTGTCCTTACTTTGATACACCATGAAGCATGGTTTCTCCACCTTTGGGAGCTGGTAGTTGCAAACAATAGATGAAACTCCCACCTGTTCCCCCCTGCCTGCCCCCACCCCAGTCCTCAGGGGCGTGGCCTCCTCTGTGTGGTGGTCGTACCAGTTGCTCCAGGGCTGTTTGCTCCCACTTTTCTGTTGCGGTTGACGACACATGACAAACCTAACCGCATGAAACCAAACCCAGATTTTTCTCAAGAGATGTTCTGGGGAAAAAACAACAAGCTGCCTGCCTCCTTCCCCAGCAATGATTGGGTGTTATAAATTACTCCTATCTGGATTTCACATAGTTCCCCTCTGCTCCTGCTGGTGGTCCTGACTTCTATTTTCATTTGCTTGATTAACATACTTCACCTTGGGGGATTCAAGTGGTGGCATTCTCTTCCATGAGTTCTCTCAACACAATGGCAACAACCTCATAGTTTATAGCTGCATTCCCCCACCCCCATACCATTATTTCCTTTTCTCTGCCATTTGACTTCTACTTTTTAATATTTGACTTTATATAAATTCCTAATGGAATTCCCACTATTGTAAACCAGCTCTTGATTTAACTAGTAATGATGAACTGCGACAGGTCTCCAGTCATCTCTACCCAGTATGCTATTGACTTCCACTAACTCTACTTAAGAATTATTATGGTATGTGCCATTGACTCTGAAATGGAGACTAGAAAATTATTAGCTGTTCTGATCCCTGGCACAGATCACATGGGCTGGATAATTATGTTTTTCCTCCTTCCCTTTTCCATTTGAAAAGTAAGATTGAAACCAAACAATTTTCTCTCCTCGCTACGTTAGACATGCAGAGTGAAGTAGGCAAGATGTCAAAGGTAACTGAGATCTCCTGCACACATGCCTGTCCTGCCTTCTCCTCGAATGCAGTAGGCATTTTGATTCAGTCTGGGCATTCAGGCAAGAAGACAGAGATGGAATTGGTGAGTGGGTTGATCCAGGAGCCTTTGAACCCATAGCAATCAGACAAACCAATCAACAGTGACAATATCCCACAACTCCTCCCATTTCACACCCAGTGGACCCCCCCCCCCACCTCTCTAAAATCTGGGATGGGTGTTTGTGCGGTTAGCTGTTTGCAAGTGGCCATTTTATGACAGGAAATAACCAGGTGGTATTAACCCTTTCCTTACCTCTAAGAGGATGGCAAGTGTGCCTGTGCAAATTTCTGTGGCGTTTGGGGCCTGAACCTGAGGAGAGGGTGGGATGGAATTCATTTTTAAAAAAAGAGAAAGGGTTAAACACTGCACTGGGAACTTGAAAGGACCGATTTTTTTTCTTAAATGATTCCCTGTGTCAGACTGGTGATTTAACACTGAAACCCTCATTCTAAAATCGCTACAACGCTACTTTTAAAGATAATTTTAAGAGCATTAAATTGTACGGAGAACTACAATATAACCTGCATTTGATGGGGGAATTTTTACCTTAATTTCTAAGCTTAATAAAATTAACATTTTAAAATCTGGGCTCGAAATCTTTTATATAAACAAGTAGGTTTTTTTTTCCTTTTGAAGAGAGAAAAAAAACAAACAACATTCTTGATGTCCATTGTGGATATATATGTATTCCAGTATATATCTCTATACATATGTGTATATATATGTGTGTGTGTGTATATATATATGTATCCAACTTTACTAAATAATATACTGTACATATACACCCACCCTTAAACTTGTGCATACTGTGTATATATATATATATATATATAAAATGGCCACATTTCTTGCGTGTGTCTGTCCCCGGAAGGGTGGACTGATTGTTTTTGGATGTCTGCAGCTGTTACCTTGAAGGATGCAATTTCATCTTTCATTTATTTTTCCCCATCTAGACTGTATCAGGATAAACTGTAACTCCAGTAAGTTTTTCCTCAAGTTTCATTTTGCTCTTTAAAAAAAAAAAGAGAAAAACTGACTTTATTTTGTTTACTGTTTTATGAGCTGTTTTTTCTTTGGATTCTTTTATTTTTTGACAGTGGGGTTTGGAGGAAACGGGGGGGGGGTGATAAGTTGGAGAGTGGGATGAAGGCACCGGTTAAGTGGGACTGAGGTATAGTGTTTGTCTTGGAGCAGGTTCTCTCGTCTCTACCTGCATTTACAGAAAAGGAGGAGAGGGTGTGTGGATTATGAAATAACTTGAAAATGAATGGAAATGGTCATGTGTTTTCTTTGGGAGATAACCCCTGAGGTGAACGGAAAGCTTTAGAGAAACCAGACTGCACTTCTCCACTGCCAAAAGCTGCAGTTGATAAAAGTAAAAGTTCATGACCCTGAGATGGCTGCCAACTCTGAGATTTCCTGCCTGGCATTTACCAGTAGAAGGAGCTTCTAGAAGGATGTGTAAAGCCCTGTTCTTGGCAGTGATGCAACATTTCAACCAAAGACTTAGCTGAAGAAGGACACACCGCCTATCATTCTCATTCTCACCCATTCCAGAGTCCCGCTCTTGAAGAAGGGTCCTAAGGAGTTATAGGATGAAAGCTACTATCTTCTTCTCTGGAAAATGACATTAGCTAAAGTTGAGGAAAAAGAAAAAGAATATAAACACCTAAGATAGGAATGAGGGAAGACTTTGATGAAGGACAAAGAGAAATATGTTTTTTGCTAGGACATGTTGTATTAGACTAATTCACATTGTTATAAGGAAACAAAAGTTGGTTTTTTTTCTTGTTCAGGCAAAGTCTAATGCCAGCTGAACAACTGAACTGTCTACCAGACAGTTCCTTTCAAAGAAGCAATGAATTCAAGGATCTAGGATCCTTCCATGAAGGGAAGAGAGAGGCCCATCACCTGAGAGTTCTTTCAGCATGCTTCATCTCTTTGCCTGGAAGCAGCAAGCATCACTTTTGCCGGTACTTATTTGGCAGGCAGGACTCCATTCTAAGTGCAAAGTCTTCTGGTGCTACCCGGAGGAAGAAAAAAGTGGATTAGTTGAGTATTCAGTACACCTAATTCTGTGTTCTCTCCTTATTCTCTGCTTCTTTCCTTCCTAGAGTCTTCTATAGAAACAAAGTCAGAGAGAAAATACTCTGACTTCTTTCATGTACTTGTTAATGATATCGTAGGCAATCTCTCAGAGATGATAGTTCAAATTTCTTTTTTGGCAGGTGATAGGATATCACATGACAACCTAACAAACCCCTCTAGTTTTAGGCACACACGCCACAAAAATTAACCCAAAATGAGAAAATTTAAAGATTTCTGTAAACATCTACTTCCTAGAGTATATTATGCATGTCTAGGCATCATGCTATTTTAGATAATGTTCTATTTTTCTGTTTTAGTATTTCTAATTAGTGAGAAATTTCTCATGATGTTTAGGTCACTAAAGACCTAATTGAGACATTCTTTCCAATGTGTGGAGCTATTTTTAAAACAGCCTATTGAGGTTTAATTTCTGCCACAAAATTCATTCATCATAGCTCTACAATTCAATGATAATTGTACATATGGATTTATCCAAAAGTCACCACAATCATACTTTAGAGCAGCATTGCTATCACCCCTTACCTGTTTACATCTAATCTCTGCTCTTACCCTTAACCTGCAGCAATCATTAATGGCTTTACTTCCATACATTTATCTTCTCTGGACTTTGCATATAAATGAGGCTGCATAAAACGTAGTCATTTGTATCTTTATCCATTAAAGTAAGAGAATAGTGATTCTTAGGGAAGCCTTTCCTTCTCTTTTTATACTAATTTTCAAAGTTGGAAATGATGGAAATTGGGCACGGGGTGAAAAGCTTCATCTTCAGAATTTGCCAACTCCTGGATCCTATTTGGAGAGCAGAGAAGCCAGGAGCTGATTTGATGAGGCTATCCGAACTTGCTGTGGCTGTTCTATCAACTTTCCAGTGCAGCCCACTTCCATTTAATCGACAATGGAAGGTCATCCGGAGACAAGTTCCCGGATCCTCTGTCCTGGGAAGACAGCGACATAGATAGACAACAGCAGGCTTTCTAAACCTGGTGAAACATTTTCTACACATAGCTACCTATAGCAGTATGAAGATAAAAGCTGTCAGCAAAGGGAAGTTTTCAACTTTGATCACAGGCTAGAGAGTGTAAGTGATCGGAGTTCAATGAGTAGGTAAATTCAAGTTTGATTTTTTAAAATCATCTTTTAAATTTTCTTCTGGTAAACCTGACATGCTAAGAAATGTAACTCTGTGGAGTTCATCTGGAAAATGATGGTGTATCCACTGCTTGAATAATGAATGTCTAGGGGAAAAAAATTTAAAAAGCCTTTAAACTAGGCTCTGTAGTAAGAAGAACACATACATGTATCTACGGTTTAGTAGAGTCCCAAACTAAATGTGACTGCTTTGGCTGAAATTGCTTTTAATTGTTGAATTGTAGTAGAAGTTGCAGTTGAAGCCACACAAATGTGATAAATTATGAGAAACAAATGCATATAAGCATGGATGTTTAAGAAAAATAGTAACTCAAAAATTTTGTCTTATATACTTACTTTCTCTCCCCCATTTCTGGCATTATTGGCATATGGGTAGAAAAAACTGAGACTATACATCTAAATTAAAAGACAAAGCACGTACAAATCATAATTTCTCTCTTTATTCACTCTGTGTAAGAATCTGAAGTATGACTACAAGTCCATGCTCTTACCCAGTTGTTACCTATGGGTATCTAAGAAATAAGATTGATTTGCAGCCTGGGTTGAGAGGGAGGAGGGCTCTCCTCTGGCTCCTGGGCCTTGTCTCCTGCTGCCATTTCAATGGAAGTCAGAGAATGTCATTGCTCAAGTTTTAAAACAGATTTTCAGTGTTTTTTTTCCCCCTTGAAGGGACACACCGAATTAAACCTAAGTAAAATTTGAATACATGTTTATGAATTTGGCTAGTAACTCCTTTAAGGTGCCTGTTCTTTGAAAAATTGCTCAGATAAAACACTGGGTGATGCAACCAATACATTTCTTCTTCTTCATCTGTGACAAAATGGTGTTTTAGGAAGTGGCTGATTCCAAGGGATTATGTGATACTCTTTCATGGAAGGAAAAACAGTAAGGAAACAAATTGACCTTCCAGGGGAAAAGACAAGCTAGTGGCCAGGATGGAGGACAGACTTGAAACATGAGTCATTTTCTTCTGGTTGGCTTCCTTCAACCTTAGCTGACTGCCTTCCAGTGATCATGCCCCCAGGAAGAGGCAACAACAGTTTTCCATCCATTATCTGCCTAACGACCTTTCTTCATCTCTCCCTTTCCACCCTGCCTTTCTCCATGATAACTATGATTTATTTATCATCCCTTATTCCAAATAATACTTCTCTGCTATCCAAGGCCTGCAAGATGCCCACCTCATCTGTTCCTCCTTAGGTACTATCTTCAAGCCCTATCAGAATGGTCTTTGGTTGAATTGAGGCTATTGATGAATTTCATTCATCTGGCAAGAATGTAGGTAAAGATGCTCAAGCAAGGCAATTTCAGCTTGAGAGCTTTATTTCCAAATGCAAAGGAACAACCGAGTTGGCAGTCATGGTGGTGATTGGACTCCAGGTTGACCTGGAACCTATAATCATGGGCCGCTTTCTGGAGGTGGTCTGGAGGAAATGGCCTGTTCCGATAATTCCAGTGACCACCAGTCTGGCAGGCACCTGAGGCACGCTGCTGGAAAACAGGTATGGTGTTCCCTTTGGTGTGGTTGTGAGTGATTGTGGAAATGCAAGTATGGGAAGTTTTTCCTTGTGTTTTACTTCATCAGAGTGTGACTCTGTCCCAGCCCTATGTGTTTGAAGCCATGTGAAGCCTGAATGTAAGCCATGTGCTCTTATTAATTAAATAGGATGGTAGCGTGAATAAATGTACCAAATATATATTAACAAATATTATTTTTCTGGACTTCCCCTGCTCTCCAAGGTTAGCAGATGTACATCATGACCATTTTCTTAATCTTCCTAAAAAGAGGAGTTTTTAGTACATATATATATATATGTATAGATATATGTATGCTAACATATATATATGTGCCTATGTGCATATTAATACAGAGGGAAGAATTGTGACCTTGTACATGGGCTTTAACCACTTTTTCCATCTTTCTTATTAATTTCTTTGACTTTGAAGTTAGTCTTAATTTTTCTGTAATGAGGCTTACTTTTTCTTCTTAGATAATATAGGTGAGCAAAGAAGTAGGGTGCCATCGTCATATCTCTGAAAGCTATTCCTATGCACTCAAGGCTCCTCTTCTTACAAATCTGTTTGCATTCTGTCTGTCTTTCCTTAGTTTCTACGGTGACTCCATGTCCAGTGTTTGAGCCAAATCATTAGTATGTGAGTGGCTCTTGTATAATTTAGCAGCAATTTGGGATGTGGAGTTTATTTTACTAGATTTTTGTTATTTTCTCTCTCTCTCTCTCTCTCTCTCTGATAGCTCTATAATAATCTTATCATTACTCTTGGTTTAGCTCATCCCTCTAACTCAGAAATACTTGACATAGAATAACCAGGAATGATTCTTCATACTCTTTTTCTGGAAGGAAATTATGAAATTGTCCTTGGTCTGTACTTCTAGAGTTGGGTTCCTGTTGTCCCCTTGCTCTGTTAGAGTTTCAGTAGAGATAGAAAGTCATGAAGTAAGAGTTGATGTACAATTATGCATTCTTTGTCAAGATAGGAGCATCACATCTGAAAATACCTATTTTCATACTGAATGACTATATTCCATCTTTCTTCAACACCTGATTTTAAAAGATAATGCATAATGTAATTTCTTCTTAATAAACACTAATTTGTTTTAAATAGCTAAAAAATGCATATGTGGGCTGGAGGCATGACTGAAGTAGTAGAACACTAGCTATGAGCAAGCAAACCCAATGAGTGTTAGGCCCCTGTGTTCAAG